CATTTACCCAGCTTCTGCGAGTGTGAAGGCTGCTCTTCGCTCCGCCAGTCCTATTCCAGCTCTACATATCCTAACATGGAGCCCCGATGGCAGGATGAGTGAGCCTGTATGAGGCTGAGTATAGCAGGGGTGCTGCTTGGCTAGTTAGCGCTCACCTGAGACCTGTCTTCCCCCCCCTGCACACCTCTACACATCCGTGTCTGACAGGAAAATCTCTGACTGTTAACCTCAGAAACTGGAAAGCCTAAATTAACTGTGTGTGCAGGAGTAGCATCAGATATTTTAAAGTGACAACTGAACTAATTGGAACAGATATTTGTTTATGGCTTTTTACATGCTGTATGCTTGTACACTGCCTTAGAGACTACATTACACAGAAACTGCACCAGTGCTGAGAGAGATTGTAAATCCATTTCTTCTATGAGACTTTAAGATTGTTTTCCACTGAGCTGTGTTATGGCCAGAGCTAAAGTCTGTCCCCTCAAATTGAGTTATTTCCCTCAAAACCACAAATGTAAATCTCATGGTGGCACTAGAAGAAAGGTCAGAGGATCATCTGGGAACTGTGATTGTCTTTACAGAATTTTGCAGCGAGCAATCCAGTAGATATGGGAATGCTTCACTGGATGAGTGAAAACTTTGACCTGCTGGTTGCGCAAGATGAAATGTCAGGAGATCACCAACGTTTTTAGGATTCATCCTCATGGGACTATTAATATCTGTACAGAACTTGATGACAATACATTAAAAAATTGTTTAGATACTTCAATCTGGGCCAAAGTGGTGGACCGACCAACCTAGCCTGTGTAAAAATCTAAATAACTACTTATGTGCAGACATACAGGGCTTTAATAATGCCTATTTGCCAATAACATTTACAAAGCAACCATCCAACAGCCTCAACAGTGTTTCCATGTAGAGAGCAAGAATCTTATTAAAACTGGAAATGAAGAAAGAGCCTCAAACATTTGAATTTATCTGGCTCAGCAAAATGCTGCCCATCATTTTACGATTTAATGCCACACAATAGGGAAATTTAATTATACATGATGTGGTTCATAAAGTGTATGCTGAAATGGACATTTTTCTCAGTTGAATTATCATTATTTTTTCTTTGCCTGACCATTTCTCTGCTAGCTAATAGTTATGTGCATCCTTCCACCTCCCCCTATACTGAAGAAATCTGACATTTGGTATCTTTTAAAATTCCTCATTAATATTTCTACAGCTCAACTGCAGTTACTACTACACAGCTATTGTTGCTGTGACATTAGACAGTTGCTACTACTATCACACTGCTCACACAGTGTTATTTGGGGTTTTTGATGGGTGACTTTCAATGCTGGGCTGGTTACTTAAAAAATGTAATCAATTATTACTCAACTGAGTGCAGACAAATTTGATATTAACCCTTTCTCAAACTCCTGGCAAGATGGAAAACAAGCCTATTGTCAACGTAATGGAGCATTTTTGTGACTGGGATTGGGAACGGTATTTTAATGACAACGTTCAATTTCTAATTGTTACCCCTTAAATCAGAGGTGTTAAACATACGGCCTGAGGGCCAGAACCGGCTCGCTAAAGGATCCAGTCAGCTCACTGGATGACTTTGCTAAGTTAATTAATTTCAATTTTTCAATAAAATGCACTGCTATTCCTATTTGTCCACTGGGGGACGCACTGTCGGCGACTGTCCGTGCAGAAGTCGCCGGTAGAAAATGTCAAAAAAGGACGAAAGAGGACACAAAGTGAAAAATGGGCCACTTCCTATTTCTTCACAGAGTAAATGGGAAGCCAGTGTGCTTGGTGTGTTCACAGCAACTTTCAGTGTTCTAGGAACAATTGGACAACATCTGGTTTGCTGTTTCCCCCTCTTTGCAGTCTTTATGCTAAGCTAGCTGGCTTTTGGATGTAGCTTCATATTTACTGTACAGACATGAGTGGTATCAATCTTCTCATCCAACTCTTGGAACGAAAACATGAAGCATTATTTCGTGGGATGTCCAACTAATCCTTAGAAACAACACATCTGGCCGCCCACGTATGTTAATTCTGCAAAACCTGCTAATATACAATCCAGTAAAATGAAGTGAAGTAAAAGCTGGCCAAAGGGACATTATAACCAGCTGGTTGTAGGGGCCACAGCAGGAGGGGGCCCACACAGATTCCAAAAGAGAGCTTTTATTAAACAGGAGTGCCGAGAGCAATATTCTCTCAGGGGGTCCAGTTATCTGAGCTACACCCCTGCTGCACAGAAAAACAAAGAACTACTGCAGTTTGAAAAGTACGTTTGTACTGTGTTTTTCGATTTCTTCTCCCCAGAACAAAGGAGGGAGCTATTTATCTTGAAATAGCTTTGTATGATTTATTAATTCCAATATGTAACACAGGCGTGCTGATTCGGATTATGCTGGATCTGGGTTTGGAGATTTCCAGGCTTTATTTGTCTTGAGATAGGATTATTTTGCAGTTTATTAATTCAATGTTTGTTTCGTTCCAGACACAGGTTAAACCTTGTTTATCTTGTTTATCATTGATCCCCCGAGTGTCCGAAAGTAATTATTATACACACTGTTAACACGGTAACATTTTGGTGCAGACATACCAAGGTCCTAATTAGTATTGGATCTTCCATTTTCTGTTTCATTTCCCCCATTCCACCAGAATATTTGCTCATCTTACTTTAGATTTTGTTTGTACACAAGATGTTCCTCGTAGCTTTAAATAGCATTCAACTGGCTTCTTTGATAGGTACACATGGTAGTTTGATGAATCCTTGTGTTCCTTGAACAGGGTCTTTCTTCATGTTTTTGTGCAGCAGTTGTAATTGTAAATAGTTAGAGACTCATTTGTTTTGTCTGGTTCTTGATCTTATCTAGTTTGCTTGCATCAAATATTAACAGAGCAGCGTTTTTGAAGTTCATTATTTGTAATGTTTTCATCATATTCTAAATAGTGGATCATTTGGTCCATGTAGATAAATACATTACAATAGCCTCTGTGTGCTGCACAATGTAAAATCTGTAATTAAAACATGGGGGATCCAGTCATTAATCAGTAACTTAATATGCATTTCTTTTATGATTTATTAATGAGGAGTGACCAATGATCTGCTGTTTTCTGGACTAGCAAAAGTCTGAGCACATTTTAAACCTTTTTGTCAGCTGTGAAACATCACATTCGAACACAGAGAGTGAGGTGCGCAGGCCATTGGAGAGAGCACTTTGCTTTCACTTTAATTGAGACATGAGGGGCTCAGACATGAGAGTGAGAGTAACATTACCACAGTACCAAGGGACCAGAGGATGACTTTGTTCCTGACTGTTCTGTCTTGCCGGACTATTAAGCTTGTCATTTGCCAGCAGCACAAAGTCACGTACACAACAATGCCTCTTGCCAACAAACAACACAAGGTTTGTTCAGGAAAAATACAAACTGCTCTGTTGGTGCTCTGTTGTTAAGAAGTCTGTGTTCCCTGTCGTAAAGACAAGGTCCGGATCAGAGTGTTTTACTCCGGAGAAGCTAACTAATGCCTTAAGTAGGACTGGTGCTGCCCCTGGGTTGAGGGTCGCAGCCTGCCTACACCCTTGCACCCCCAGTGGGACAGCAGCACTGAGGTCAAGAGGGGCACCATGAATCACAAATCCCTGTCTGATTTGTAAACTGTCGGGACATTGATTTACACGGATGATAAGAGGAAAGAAATCCTCTGGCAGCTAGCAGGGAGATTGTGGTATGCTGAGGGAGTGTAATCACACAGCAGATTGCTCTTGAGAAGAAGGTCAAAACCCATTCTTATGGTGATTAAAAACCTTTTTTTAAGCAGGCTGTACTGTTCCTCAACCAGCGGAGCCATAGGCAATAAAGGAAACTTGATCTTTGATAAACTGCACATATCCGGCTTAATTTGAACTATGATCATGTCTTTAGATGGTCTGATAAGCAGCCATACCAGTTGTCTGTACGTCTAAACATGATTTATAATAATCTCCTAATTGTGTTGAACCCTTTAAAGAGTATGTTGTATGATTAGTTCACATTTCGGTCTGTACCAAAATTATGTTGACTTGTTTTAATTTATCAAAATAAGCAAAAAGTCTAAATTTTTAAATGTTACATAAACACAAGTGGTCATCCAAGAACTTTGCCTTAGTAAATTAAAATTGGGAAATTTATGATTTCCATCAGAAACTATTTGATCAAAGAATAGTAAACAAGATTATGTATCCGATCCGGAATTCAATGGTAGATTATATAGATTATATTTTTTTGACAATTGTTGATACTCGGTGTGGACACGTTTCGGTCCAACTCGAGAACTACCCTGGGGCACCAGACACCTTGGGGCCTCAAAAGTCTTTTATTGCATTTCAGTGGGTTTGCAAATTTCTTATGGAATATAAAGCAATAAAGTACAACATTTCAGTTTTTTGAAATTTCTATAAAAGTTTATCAGAGCATCACAACATGTTGCAGTATATGTTAACCACTGATTTTACTCATTGCTGTCAAAAAATAAATAATTTGGTAAACTATCATTTCCTGAAGATTATACACAGCAATGAGAAGAAAAAGTGCTATTCATGAAGAAGTCATTATTTGAAAATAAAAGCAATATGAAGTAACATGCTGGTTTAGATCACCTGGTCTAGAGTCTGACTTTACACCGCAGTAAATGCAATAGCAATACAAGACAAAGCATTTTATTTTGACTTTTGAATTCTGTTACTGTTTGTAATTTCAGTATTTTGAGTTTAAATGTAAGAATGTGAGAGATTGTAAGTGGCAGGAAAACATATGTGACATCCCATTAAGAATAGGAACGCAGTACTATCAGTGTGGTGACCAGTTGACCCACCGGAGTTGAACTTTAAGATGTGTTGTACCAGTTTTTGACTGCTTCAATTGGCTGTCACTCACTATCTTCTAGTTTTGCTGAAAGACTGTCCGTATACACCAAGTGAGCCTGCCCTGACTTTGTATTCTCCTCTGTCTTTTAGTAGCCGACTGTCGACTCTTAGAGGGATTGCAGAGATATTCCTCCATCCCCACATACCTGCCGGTCAACTATCAGGTGCTCAACGCGGACTTGGCGTTCTTCCTGAAGGAAGCCAACCAGGACTTCATGAGGAACTCTAGCCTGATGTCTCGGACTGAGCCCTTCTTTATCTACCAGGCCAGAAGTTTGCCCTCAATGAACACTAGCTATGGGCCTCTCTCTGTGGAGCAGCCTGTCCCTTTAGAGCTCCTACAGAGCCCGGGAACGTTTCCTGCCTCTTCTGTTTTTACCTTCAACTGGAAGGTGCAGACCTTTATCATGAATAACAGGATTCACTTGGCCAAGCCCAAAGTCCAGGTGCTGTTTTACGTCGCAGGCAGGGACTGGGACGACTACAGCGCCATCGACAAGCTGCCCTGCGTGCACATGTTTGCTTTCCATGAAACCCAGGAGGTGCGGGGCACTTGCCAGCTGAAGGGGGGGCTGGGGCTGTGCGTGGCTGAACTGGAGCCCTTGGCCAGCTGGTTCAGCCCACCCAGTATAGTGCCAGGACGTCAGAGGAACCTGGAAGTATCTGAGGGCACACCAGTGGAGCTCTACTACATGCTGCAGTCCACAGAAGCAGGGGAGTGCCACTCAGATGAGGCCAGGAAGGACAACTTCATCCGCTCAAGCCAGGAAGGGCTATTTGGTTCCTACACCTCCACACTGCTGCGTAGGATCGGTGGTGTGAGGCTCTACCAGAACCCCACTCCGCCGCCCCTCGCTGAACACAGGCTTGATAACAACTTCATGGTCATGGTGCCAGCCACACCCATGAGACAGAGAGAAACCGTCTCTGCTTATATCACCGTGTCAGCCGACTCTCCTGTGGAGATGTTTACTCTCAGGTAAGAATGCTTTTCTTTTTGTTCTTCTGTGAAGTGTCTGGCTGCAGACTTTCTCTGTCAGTCTCAGACTCTGCAGTCTGTGTCTATTGACTCTTTTTTCCTCCACCTTTTCTTTGTCATGCTTGTCTGCCTTAAAGATTTAGGCAGTATCCACACTAAGGTTTTTTGAAATTGTATACATCCACACTGAAACATGGCTAAATCATATTTTCTTTCTATATATATTTTTTTTTAGCAAACACTAAGATTGTGCATCACAGACTGGTTCCTGTGCTTTCTCACAGCCAGTTAAACCTCTGTTCTCTCCCCTGCTCTCCACGATCATATAGATCACGATTCATTATAATCACAATTTAGGTGTTCTCATTGACTCATTTCTTCATTTTCTGAAGTCAAACAACTGATTCAGACGAAATGATTATTTGATCGCAGCTCACAAACGCCACTTGTTAACCAAGGTAAACAGCAATTCCTGTGCTGCAGCACCGTGGCCCTTGATCAAATCAGTATTGATCGCGAAGTCGTCTGACAACACAAACGTAAACACAAGCTGATGACAACAACTTCACTGTTTGATTGGCTGTATTGGAATTCCAAACGAGTGATGAGAGAGAGTTAGCACATCTTCAGCTCAAGTCTACATCTGTGGCATGTGTCGTTGTTTTAGAGAAGTACTCTTAATCGTCCCCTGTATTCAGGCAGGTGTGTAGGAGAATAAGTGAATCTGTCAACAGTGAGCAGGAGCAGATTTTTTTTTACTCTTATTAAATAACAATTGTGTCCCGTCAATTGACCTTCATCACGCATTCCATATAATAAATGACAAGTCTGCACATACACACTCACAAACCAATTCAAGGGACCAAGAAGCCACGGACATACCATTAACAAACATAACTGATAGTTATCTTTAGACTTATTATGGTATGTTATGGATAAATCACCTGAATGGATATGTTTGTTTTTTTCATATCGTTCGGAGGAGGAGGAAAAAGCAAATCGACGATTTTTGGCCCATCGATCGAAATAATAAATACCTAAACAAATATATAAATCTGGAACTGAACATTAAACCAACCATAAATATATTTTTTGACAATGAATTACCCCTTTATCACCCTGTCATCAGTCTGAGTTTATGAAGAGCTTAACTTCTGACATTGTTAGAATACATTATACTTATTTGCAATGGGCGATGCTGTTCTGTGGATTGCTTCTGTTGCGCATCCCGTTAAATTGTTAAATGCCAGTCTTACAAACCATTATTGTTGGTGCATATTCCCGGGATAAGGGGGATCCTAAAGTGTGCGATTTCATTTCATAAATGGATAGTTACGCGGCAGGATTATTTGGAAGACAGAACGCCAACCTGGTACGTTAAAGTAACAGTCGAATGATTTCCTTTCCACCCTGTCTGACAGGCTTGTATCGTGGACAAAGAGCTGATAGTGTTGTGTTATATATTTGAAAGATAACTTTTGTGAAGGGTTTGAAAACAGGTCGAATGTGACATGAATACCACTTGTCAGCTTTGCTGTAAAAATCAGCTGCGGGGAAGTTTTAGTCCCTATTTTCTAACCCTATCGCCAGAATAATATGTTGAAGGTTTTTCCACAGAATGGAGAATAACTTTATATTACATGCACACAAATATTTTCAGCAAAAGTGGCCGTCATTATGGGTATGAAGCCTCTACGTAAAATGATGATGTACGTCCTTGCGTGACTGATGGCTGCGCAGCTATCAGACATTATCGGAGCCCAGTTACACCGATAAGGATAATCTGGAAAATGTCATATCAGCACAGATTAATCGGTTGACCTCTACCCCCAAGTTAGTTTTTTATGGGTTTAGTAAATCAAATTAAAAAAAGTTAAGTTCATAGTAACTGAATTCTAGAAGTTACGTTGTTGTTTTTATCTTCTCAGGTAACCAAGCATTTCTTACACAGTGAAAGAGCAGGGTTATCTCGAGGAAATAGCTTGATTCATTGAAGCTGTTGATAGGTACTAATTACAGTGAACAGAAGAGACAAAATGATTGAGATAATTAACATGCAATGCAAATGAGGATGTCATTCATTAAAATGCACGTCCATTAGTGTAGTGACTGAAGCCGGTATTAATCACACTGGTTTGGAACATTTATAAACCTTCCGAGAAGCTGCAACAAGGGGTCAAGCCCATTTGTCAACCTGTGTAAATGTAAACAAGCCGTATGCTGAATAAGAGTGTTTTCTGCTTAGGCAAGGTGAAAAGCACAGAGGCAATTTCAAAATGAAACTTATTGTTTATTAAAAGAAAAGCTGTTCCACAGTCCTTTTCCTCTTCCAGTTGTTAGGAAATGTAGATAATTTACCCAGCTCATAGAAAAGATACACAGAGTTTGCTTATGCTCACAATTGGAGCTGAGGTGAAGTTTGAACAAGTTGAATAAATTCTCCAGACGTACTGTATGTCCTTCTTGTGTTTCATTGCATTACCAAATAGTTCTTTTTTCTGAAGCGATAAGGCATTGGAAACTTTCTTTCCCCATATTCTAAATTGAGAAATTCTCCTTTCATCAGTCAAATGAGCTGGCCAGGCTGGCCACAGAGGCAACGCCTGTGGTGTTTTTATTTGGCAGCGTAGCGCATGGCGGGCGCAGGTTGGCCATCTGAGAGCAGCAGATATGGAAAGGCCTCTGTGTGGTCCTAGGTGATAAGACCGTCCTCGTACATGCATTTGTTAGGACGCGTAATCACCAGAGCGAGAAGACTTTGATCTCTATATTCACAACATCATTATCATCTGTGTGCTGCACACTTCTGTGTTCGCCATTGTTGGCTGTGTAGCCCTGAATGCAGAATGAGCTTATGATGCTGTAAAAATCTGTCAAACAGACCTTCTGCTACTTCAGTTTTACATGTTTATTTGATGCCCGGTTTCATACAGTTAATAACAAAATCCAAGTCCGTCATACTTCATTCAGCGTGTGCATATTTAAACAACACGTCGGTATTAAAATGCTCACTGTCTTTCTACACATGGCGGAAAAAGGGTAACGTCAAAAGAAAATGAAAATGGCCACTGCGCCCTTTAGTAATTATTTCCTCTTCTTCCAATCAAGATTTCACCTTCGTCTTATCCATTATGCTGAAAGGCTCATGCTGTGATAGATGTAATGCAATGAAAGCTAATTTCACATATTTTTAATAGCCAATCATCCGGCCAATTTATTACTCACTTACTTTGTGGACTCACAGCATGGTATGCCTTACTGGGGTATTTCAGTCTTGACATGCTACTTTAAATTTGATGGGCTCTGATTTGATATGACCTCCTCTGTGTTAATAGGCTGTGTCACTCAGAAACGGAACTTGTTTTACTGTACTTCACTTTGCTCGGATTTAGAGGGACTTTGATTCAGAGCATCAAATAGTTGCTGCTTTTAGTCACTATCAAGAGTCCTCCTGATGTATGAGTATATATCTATTTCCTGTCTCCTCTCCCTTTGACAAGCCATTGTCCACTGGAGAAAAACGATTTGATTCCGATGTGAATTGAAAGAGAAAACTGCCTGAATATCAATATAAAAAGACGATGGTGTTTGTTGTTAATAATTTTTATTTTTACATTTGTTAATTAAACTACCATCATCTGCATGGCACTAATGCCAAGGTGGCGTTAAGGTACTTAAGGAGTGTGCATAAGTATTACAGTGTTCACCAAATGCTCATGAGAGGATCTTATTTTAAATTGATGATTCAAGCTATACTTCTCATTTTAGTACGTTTTCAGTTGCTCATAAAATCATCATGACTATTCATTTAGCCAAAATGTTCCCATTGAGATACATAATCTCTTCTTCAGGAAGCAGAGCTTGGCAGCATTGCCTGAAACAAACACAACCTATATTAACATCATAAAATATGTACATAGTTTTATGAAATAAAGCATATTGCTTCCACAAAAAGAGCAGAGATGATATTTCACACAGCAAAAGTCATGTGGCATCGTTAAGGCCGTCATTTACTAACTTAATTGGTGACGAGAACGGACGTGTCAGGATCTATAGGTGACGTTGTATTTGTTTATATAATACAGAAAACAGGTTTTTAGAGGAACATAGTTATGCCAAAATGTAGTTTTCTTTTATTCAAAATAATGAGGAAGCATTTTTAATCAACAAGTTGTTCATACAGATCATTACAGTATCTGTAAAATGTTCACTGATGATTGATTGTTTAGGTCTGTATGACTTAGTTTAGGTTAGAGAAGGAAATGTTGTTAATGTTGATTTAAAACCACAATTTAGTTACAGGCAAGGCAAGGCAAGTTTATTTTTATAGCACATTTCAACAACGAGGCAATTCAAAGTGCTTCACATAAAACCATTAAAAACATCAAAACATAAGGCAAAAGAAGTTAATTACATCAATATATTTCATGACGTTTTCTACAAGTTTACACATCCTGCAGTCATTTAAAGGTGATAAACATCTTGTGAAAAATACAGGGAATTATAATGTGTTATGTTGGTTTTTAAATGTCTTGTCAATGTCAAAGGATATCATCAAATATAAATGACGGTGAACAAAGCTGGATTAGACAGGATTAACTCTTTGGCAGCAGTGTATTCCTTTGCTGTATTCCTTCTTTGATATCTCCCTGCTTTATTGTGCTGAATGAGAAACAGTATCACATCACAGTCTACAGTAGAGCTGTTTCATCATCAGCAGGATTCACTCCTTCAGAGACATTTCTGCACACCAGCAGATTCTGCACCGTTGCAGGGGAGTCGAATAAAGGAAAGGACATTGAAAAGGCACTTACAACTACAATGCCATTACATTTAGTATAAAAGTAATCTATAAGCTCATTATCATAATATGTTTTCTGGTATCACTGCGCGAGATTTCGATTGTTATATGTCATTGATAATTCATTATTATCACTCAGATGGTTCATATGCAAATGAAATGCAGTGAAGGAAATTATTTTAAAGGATTTCTTTTTTCC